TGTCGAGTGTTCCAGTTGCTGTTGTTTCTGTGATTGGTGACGATGTTGATTTGTTGTTACGGTAGTTGCAGGTTGATGAGGCCTTGAAGATTTCCGTGTACTATGTTGGCTACTTAAATTTTTGTTGATGCGTGTACGTTTCGCCAGTTTGTTTTGATTAGCATGACTAGCACGGTCGCTAATAGCTGTCGCAGAGAGCAATAGCTGGTTATGGTGACTTACTACTGCTATTGTCGCTTCAGCGTTGTTGAGCTGGATCTGCTGCTGTTGTTGACGCTGATTACCTAAAGGTGACGTTGACGAGGTGATTTCAATAGATCCGCTGAACTTTTCGCGTGTGTTGTGTGGCAATGTTTCCTTACCTTCACCTAGAGAGTTTTGCTTTACATCAGTCAGTTGAAGTGATGAGTTTCGGTAGCTCTTGGAGTTATCGTTTCCTAGGCTTATGGCGTCTAAAACTTGGCATTTACTCGGAGAATTAGTAGTGTCTGCTTTGGTGGCGACAGATAACCCAAAAACCTTCCAGAAGTCGATGCCGAAATAAAATTGCTGCCGCAACTCTGGTACTATATAGAATCCAATACTCCTGGTCTCGCCCTCCCACTCGAAGGGTAAGGTAATGAGTCCCGTTACAGATGTCTTCTTTCCGTCTGCTGTTTTGACGTGTTGATTCCGTAGCTTAATGACTCGATGTCTTCGATTCTCAAGGAATCTCGTTGCTCCAGCCCCACAACAACTGACGCTGACTCCTGTGTCCAGAAGAGCCGTTGCTTCGGTGTTGTCGACCTTGGTCCGAGCAAACATCCTGTCATCGTGCTCTAGGGAAACAATCGCTGAGATCTCCTTTTGCTGAAACCTCCTGTACGCCTTCGTCCTTTGGCGTAAGATCAGAATCTTTCTATGTTTTCTCGTGAGCGCTCGCCTTCTAAAAATCTCTGCGCTAAATATCTCGTGTCGCTTCTGCTGGTAGTCCGCGATCCTCTGTGCTAAGCTTCTGTACTCGGGGATGTCTTGATCCGTTGCTGGTGTTATTGTTGCGCCTGTTGCTGCTCGCGTTAATATTGTCACTGCTGTGGCTGGTGTTGCTTTTGTGGTTATTGTTGGTGTTGCTGTTGCTGATGTTGTTGCTGATATTATTGCTGTTGTTGTTGATGTTATTGCTGTTGTTGATGTTGTTGTCATTGTTGTTGCTGATGTTGTTGTTGCTGTTATTGCTGCTGTTCCGGGTGACGTCTCGTCTGGCAGGGGTTCCCGGCTTGCCTCGCCAGCCTGGTGTTTTCCGATGCGGATAAAGCGCCGTAGCTCTCATTTTTGCCGCATGCGAAACAGACCATGTTGTGGAAGGGACACCTGCAGCGATTTTCTCGGGTGCCTTCCGCTGGATTTTTTAGAAAATAATCTCCCGGCATCCCGCACACATAGCATAGCATCAGATGGAACGGTGACTGGCAGAAAGCAATGCTCTGCGCTGTCCTCACTGCGGTCGCTGGTGCTGGTGTGGTGGTATGGTGCTGGGGTGTTACTACTGCTGCTGTTGCCTTTTGCTTCGGCTGGCCTACACGTGATGTTGCTGGTTGCATGTGGTGCCGCTCGTTCGGAGGCTTACTTGCATTGCCTGTGCTAACCCATCTTTTGTCGTATTTCACAGCCCCGCCGTTTCCGCGTTGCCTGTCGCTGCTTGGGCTATGCCGCGGCGCTAGGGCTTCAACTGCTTCGCGATGCACTCCGTCACCATTTTCACCTTCCTGTCCGGTCTCGCTTACGTGTTTCGGCCTGCTTCTACTTTCTCTCAACAGCTTTTCTGCCCTCTTGCATTCGGATTTGAACTCGCCAATGCTTTCTACTTTGGTGGCGAAAATCAGTGCGGCCAGACTGGGCTTAACGTTGGACTTCATTATTTTGATCATTTCTGCCTCAGGGATCTTTCTGCGTAGGCGAATTGTTAGGTCGTGTATCTCCGCGTAATAGTCCTCGAAGGTCTCGGCGTTCTGCTGCTTCCGCTCCATGATTTCTCTAATCAATTCGTAATCAGAGTCTGCGGTCTTGAATTGATTGAGGAGCTCAGCTTTTAGCGCGAAATAATCAAAAGTGACGTCTCCTTCTCTATCCTCCAGCAGCTGCCAATACCATTTGCTGGCTTGACCGGTCACTAGACAGTGAAACTCGGCAAATAATTCCTCATGGCTTATCTGGTGCTGCTGCCTGAGCCGTTCCACTCGGAACACAAAGCTCTCGACCGTAAGACCCTTACCAGAGCCGTCGAATTTAACGTGCCAGCGATTGAGGTCTATGTTCCGCCTCCGGGCGTTTTCATCCCTGGACCGTTGTTGTCCTGCCTGCTGATCGTGCTGGTAACTACCGCTAGGCTGCGCTACTGTTTGGGGTGGCATTTGCTGTTGTGGTGTTGAAGTCGATGCTGCTATTATAAAATTTTGTGTCCCTTCGCTGTCTCGTAGTTGGATTCGCTGCGTTACTGCGGACTTCTCTTGCTTTAGGTGGCTAATTTCTTGGATACAGCTTAGGAGCATTTCGTGTTGTTGCTTTAGCATGCTTGCTAGGTCTAGATCCGAGCTAGCTGTTTCTCCTGCTGGGCCTGGTTGGCGGTGACCGCTGCGACCATCACCTGCGATGTTGCCACTGGCGTTGTGAGTGATGTCTGTAGTTTCGTTGTCTGACATTTTGAAAAGGTGGTTCAGCTTTCTGCTGAGGCTGTTAAAAAGTGATACTGCACTGCTATCTGCAGGATACTCTACTGTGGTGTAGTTTCCTCCGAGCTGGTATCGCTGGAATACTGGATCCAATCGGGTCGCCAGGGACTCGTCTACCGTTTGCGAAGCGTGGGCTGGATTGAAGCTTGGGTTTATACCAAGTTAGACCCCCCGATTGCTACGTTTTCTGCCCTACTGCTATCGTACAACAAGTAAAAGCGTAAATCTTTGCAAAACTCCCCGAAGACAATACCCTAGAACCGCTAGGACTAGGCGAAAAAAATTCGAAGAAAAACTACCAATTTACCCCCCTTTCTTAAACCCACAATCCGATCTCGTAGTCGTAACTTAGTACAAACGACAAAAAAGAAACAGAAGCAGAACAATCAATAGAAACAAAGAAGCAATTAATGTAGCAAAACTGACCACCAAAATAAGAAAGAATCAAAACAAGCAAAGCGCTTACAGCATTCGTTGTTAGAAATTTTCTGTATGCTTATTCTATTGTGGAAAAGTTTCTTTCTTTTCTTTATATCTTTTCGTTTACAATCAATGCTTAAGAATATTTCTTTTCCTTTTTTTTTTTTTTTTTTTTTTTTTTTATTTTATTATTTTTATTTGTTTTTTTTAAATTTATATACTAAAAGGATATTACTTATAAAATAGTGGTTATAAATAAATATATTAATAACAAAGGTTATAAATTAAGAAAAGCCTCTGGGGACTTGCTTTTTTTTTCTTTTTCCTGACTCCCGTGCTGTAGCTGAAGCACGGCGTGGGTGTGCACATGAGGTCCCGTTTCACCCCCGATTACTTTTCATGGACCCCACAACAATTGACTTCTCTTCCCTCCTGAACAGTCGACCCCTATCGTGTTTTACATGCACGATTTGGTGGGCGTACCGCTCAAGAACCCCCCTTTATATTGCCGCCCTACCCAACAGATCCACGCCGGAGCGACAGAACTGCGATAACAGTTTGGCGAACCCCCCTTTATATTGCCGCCCTGTTCAACAGATCCACGCCGGAGCGACAGAACTGCGATAACAGTTTGGCGAACCCCCCCTTTATATTGCCGCCCTGCCCAACAGATCCACGCCG